GATTTATAAAATATGTGATGCTACAAAATTCATTCTCCTAACTTATAGCTGCAAAAATCAAGAAGTAGAAGTACTGTCAGATCAAGATGAAATCTTGGTTATTTTCGACGTTACGGAACTAAAACATGATGCATCATTTGCTTTGATATTCATTCAAGGTGACCTTTACACGAATATGTTTTGAATGAATTAGGCTTTCTTATTCTGTGACTTTTCTAAACATGTAACTAAATATATGAATGCTTATCATGAAGGACTCCTTTTTTTTTAATACTTTAGATTCTGGAAAACCACTACCTAAGCCACCAGCACCAGTTTGGATACCTGGAAGTGAAAATCGTCTGTTCCGCGGCTTTCAACTTGGGAAAAATGGTCCAATCGAGAAATTCATTCTCAATGCTATCCCGAAAATACGAGATCGAAATCATCCTTTAGAATCAATCGCTTCTATTGTAACTGATTTCACATTAGGTCACTTGCTCGGATAAGCTTTACTAATATACTATTTTTGCTGGAAAGTTGCTTCACAAATATCTATCTATCTATCTACTTGTGAATCAGTCTTCTCACTTCTTGACTTCTCAAAAATTATGGTTGAGAAAGTTTTCAAACGGGTTATGTTTTCAAAATTTTAAAATGTAATTTGTATAAAAATTATTGTTCTAAGAGCAATATTCGGAAAAATTTATTAAACAGTCAAAATGTTTAAAAAAAAGAGCTTCACTTCATAACAGTAAACTTGTTTCTCTGTAAAGCTTCTCAGTACTAACAAAAATTTTTAAATATTTGAAAAATATGAAAATAGTAAAATAAAATTATTACTTTTCATTCGGAATCACTCACACAAATTCAAAACTATCCTACATTGCTTCTGTACTGGCAATTTCTATACTCCACACATGCCAGAGATGCAGGAATAGTGCACTGTTTCTTCTAAAAAGAGATTAGATTAATTTTGTTAAATAATAAATACTGTGGTCGAATTGACTACTGCTCTTATTTGGACTATTAAGATAAGTAATAAAGAGAAAAGTGTCCTACACGCCACGACATTTACAGAAATATGATAACAAACAAACGAAGTTTTGTAAATAACCCATAAAAATTTGATAGCAAAGCAAGAGAAGACAAGTAAATAAAACAAAGTGTGCCTTATATTAGGTTTGCGAAGATTTGGCAAAAATACAGTTCAAAACAAACAAAAATAGAGTGGTACTTCCGGTAGGATATACCTTCATTGGCATTTAGTAAATCAATATTCTTTAGGTAAAGAAAAAATTTTACGGCAATAAAAATAAAGACTTCAAAAAAAATCAACTGATACTAATGTTTTAAGAGAACTTGTTCATTTTGACATGACAACTAATATCACGCACATATATTCACGCGAATTACGGAAAAGAATAGGAAGGTTACCTTATACAGATTGATTGTTCTGGGATTTAGCAGTTGCACATTGCGACTCAATCTTTCGTTGTTTGATTAGCTCTATAGTTTAATATGCTTTAATTATCGTACGTATGGTTCTTTCGTATTGTTATGGGGTAGGTTAAAGGTTATTTAAGTTATGCAGAGCAGCTTACAAATTATGTTATTTGGCTAAACAAACTGCTAACTTTTATTGCTTTTAACTGAATCAGAATTTGTGTCATATGCGCAAACGTGAATGGCATTATCAGACGAAGTAATTTCACGACGACTTCGAGCAGTTGATCAAACTTCTGAATCAATTCAAACTACTTCAATGTGGATATTACATCATCGTGACTCAGCTGTAAAATTTGTCAACTGTTGGAATGAAGTATTCAAAACTGGTATGTCCATTATTTCATTTATTTTACGTAGTGCGCAAGCAGAACATTCTCTTTAGTCAATCCACTAATAAATCCATTTAGTGTTTGCTTTTTAACAATAATTTTATCCTTCAAATGTTTTATTCATTTGTATTGGCGTTTTTCATAATCTTTGATATTTTCGTAATAGTTGAAATTATTGCAAAAAAATTAGAATTTTGTAAATTACAAATCATTGATATTAAACTCGGTTCAAAAAACTACTCAAATAGATTAGTAAAAGAAACCTTTCCTTCCCTCCAAAAAAAAAATTAGAACCTTTATTGTAAGTGATTGCCTTGGCAAGGTTTAATAATTATTATCACATAAGCGTATAACTTCTAACTATTATCTTTTTTATTCAAATAACTCTAAAATTCGATCCAAAAAATCTGATAGTGTCGTAAATATTAATGAAAATATACTTTTATCATTATTATCTTGATCATTATCGTTGTTATCCTTAATTTCATGATTGTTAGTATTATTGTTATTGAAAAAGTTTCATAATATTTCGTAGTTGAAACTGTGGTTATGCTTCAAAAACAAGGCTTTACACTACGTTTCTAATATTTCTATTTCTTAACCAGTTTTCAAATTCTCACACAAGTTTCAAACTAAATTGTCATTTTTAATTCCTCTTCAAAAATTTTCATGTGTATTTAAATTTTTTATATTTCTCAAAATTGACTTTCGACTTCTTTTTCAGAGATTTTGATATTTAAAAAAATTGACAGTTGTAAACATTGACTGTCTAAATATAGCGTTTTTATAGTTTACGATACGAATAGCCATCGTATGTATACTCGATCATATAATTTGGTCTTTCATTTTGACTAAACCCATCCAAGTTTGATAAAATGTCTATTTTTTTAAATCCATTTATTTATAATTATGTCATTATAAAGTGTTTGAAGTAGTAGAAAAGCTTGCAGTTTGAACTATTTCAGCTAATGATGTTTTACAAATAGCTCTGTTTTACGTGGCAAACGATGTTTGTCAGAAGGCAAAGAAAAAAAACGGTGCGCATATTCTGCTGCAAGCTTTTGCGCCTCATTGGGTGAACGCAATCTCTTATTCCAGGTGCTTTTTGTCTTCTATGAAGCTATTTTGCAAATACGCTGTTTTCCTTATGGACTCTAGACAAAATCATATTATTTTAAGCAATGTCTCTTATTTCATATTTTCAGTCTTTCTTTTATTTTCACTTTTATTTTACAAAACAAATGGTGTTTATTTTTACTTGCAATCAAGTATACATTAAAATTTCAAAAAAAAATTTTCTTTCTAAATTTAGATATATTCTTAGTTTTATAGTCATACCTCATTTATTTTAAACAAGTTTATGTTGATATCAAAAACAAAATGTTAAAGAGGATTGAAGAAAACTCGCAGACATTAATTTTAGAGGTAGTGAAAATGTGCAGAAAGCTGTTAGTCGAATACTCGACATATTCGAAGAACGACAGATTTATTCCAAGTCTCAGTTAGCAGATATGCGTGCTGCACAAAGTATTCTTCCATCTTTTTTTTAGTGGTTTCTTTTAATTCTAGTTTTCTGGTATTTGTAGTCAATATAAGCGAATATATCTGCGCTTTGGGTTTTCCGGTTCTAATTTTCATTTGAATTTTGCTTATAAAGTAGCTAAATTGAGTTCATATAGACAGTATCTAAACCTGAAGTTTATGCTATTCTTAATTGTTCCGTTGAATTTCAAATTTAACAGTTATTTAGTGAAACTAATTATAGATGACAGCAATGAGTTGGAAGACAATTCATTACTCGACTTTGATATTAATTATTTGATTCGTGACGTCGAGGGTTACCATAAAGGAAACTTAGTTATGGAACGTGCAAGGGAATTGCTTTCAAGAAGTGATTTCAATTTCAAAGATAAAATAATGAGTCGGATGAAAGGTATAATATGAGTTTCTTGAATATATTAGTGTCTGCGGTTGGATTTTTTCTTTTTTTATTGCTTTTTACTACTCTAATGCGTAGAGAAGTCACGGGCCCTCATTTAAATATTGATTTATTGAAGTTATTACACAACCTGGTTTACAGATCGTCGAGATGGTATAAAATTTATGGAGGAAATGGAGCAGTCGCATACAAAACTGATGGATTTTTATGGTGCATTAGCAAAGCACCGCAAGCGTGGGCAGCAGATTCTTGGTGAAATCGAACGAGCTAAGCGTTGTTTCACTTTACAGCTACGAGATGTCACTGTTGTAGAAGATGTGAGTAATTTATTATGCTAATTTTCAGAAAGAATATTTTTGGTTGAATATAACATTGCATAAATCCGAGTCCAAATTGGATTGGTTTTGCACTTGAATATTTCAAGCACTTGTTGTGTTATATTCATGAATATTTATTTTGTAAGGCATACCAGAAATTTGGTAGTGGTATTGATGAAGTGAGTGCTGAAGTAGAAGAAATGTTGAAAACAGGTGTATATCCAGGTGCTTCTCCACCAAGAGATGCTCCGTCACCTACTGCAAATGATGACCCATTTAGAGAGGGTGTTGAAACAGCATTTAAACGTATGTTTAGCTCCAACAGTTTTGCTTCTAACATTTGATATCAGTCTTTGTAGTTTTTAGCTTATAAATTTGCATTATCATTTTATTTATTCTTTTTCCGTTTACATTTTTAATCTTTCATAGAAATGAGAGGACCACAGAATGCAACTCGGGCGCAGTTGCCATTGCCAAAATCGTTGCAATGTAAAGAAGAATCAGTCGTCACTGCTGGTAAGAAATTGCTCCAGACTCCAGTAACATTTTCATTGTAAGAACATTTGTGCAAGAAATTTTGACTTATGACTTCAGTGCATTTGAAAATTTTAGATTCGCTTCAAACTAATCAGTCGTTCAAGGGTTCTGTACATATGCTAAAAATTATGGAAGGAATTCGAGCTAATGAAGTAATTTTTCCATTCTGTTCACTGAATTATTTAAAAAATTATTTAATCTCAATATCATTATCCTATCTCTTAGTAGATAAACATGTGTGTCATTTTTTCATTAAATTATGTCTCTAAACTGTGTGATCGCTGTTAGTTTATTATATGTGAAGCCATTTAAAACTAATATTTTCAAATGAAGAGCATCTTTTAGACATCCAAAACAATGTCATCGTCATCAGTCGTCTCTGATCCACGTCTCGCATCTCATTCATTTTCTTCAAATGCCGTTTCTTTGTCTATTCAACAACCCACAACAACTGTTGGTAATTCGTCTGTGTCTCTCAAGCAGCAAATTTCTACATCTAGCCCGACGGTTTCTGGGATAAATCGACTGGAGTTATCCTCACTACAGTATGTCAACCCTTCAGCAATTGCACAAGCAGCCACTTCTCAAAATAAGCAGACTTCACTGCCTAACGGCAGTCTTTCTCATTGGATGCATAACTCGTCTTTATCTGATGTTGCACATATATCTAAGATGAATGCTGCAAGTGTTTCGAGGACTATTAGTCCCTCACAAGCAACAGTTATTTCTAGTCAACACCTTGATATCCAGACGAAGAACACAGCTTCAAGAGCTGCTGTTTTCGAAAGACAGTCCTCGTCACTTTCTCAGATTGAGGCATCATCACGATCGGACGTTGTACCCATAACGATGCCACCACCTCCACCACCAAATGCATCTTCATCACAAGCGATGTCTCTAATAAGCAGTTTTGCTTCTTCTGGTACACAACCTCACGCTCTAATACTCGGAAGCTCCACTCCACCACCGTCGGTGATTCCTTTGTCCTCAAATTCGTTCAATATTCCACCTCCAGTGGCCTTGCCACGTGCAAATTTAATTATACCTCCACCTGGAGTTGTTGAGTGCCCTCTGCCACTTGGAAATTTTACTCTTGCCTCTAACGTTTCTTCGCCAGCTGGCTCTCAAATTTCACGATCACTTCCTTCATCTTCGCCATCAAGTTCAAGTACCACTGCGATGCTCCAAACTAATGAAATGGATTCGGGGAAGATGCGTACGAATGGAGGCAACAGTAATGTTGATTCAATGAAACAAGATAACGGCGACGTTCGGAATGAATCGAAAAAAAGTTTCGATAATTATAATTCTGCATCAGAAAAACATGGAGACCATCGATTATATAGTGGATTGCGTTGTGAAATTGGCGGCTACATAAATCGAGAAAATCTGCGGGGACGAGATCGTGATCGTGATCGTGAACGTAATGATAATAGGGGATTGTTGCAATCATATGATGATGCTGGTAGGCGTTATTCTACTGATAATCGTAGTCGTATGTTTCGTTACAGAGATTATGAGAATGATCGTCGCAGTCGACGGTACGAAACGCTACACAGTGATTTGAGTCGCAATCGTCGATAAATTTTAATTTTAAATAACATTAATTTTCAAGTGTATTTCATTAAGTTTTAGATATTTGAGGGAAAGGGAAAAATTGATGTCTGTGTTAGTAATTGTGTTTTTCATTTTTAATATATTTGAATCTTTTCAGACGAAGTTACTGCTGCATTTTCCGGTTTACTTGTTTTTTAATGTGTATTCTAGGTTCGTATTGTTGAAGAATAATGTACATATGGTTTCTGAGTACATGCATCTTTCGATTACTGTCTGATATAATTTATGTCAGTTGGTTTCTTATTAACAACAGTGTGTAAGTCATTGTAATATCATTTGATGTGACATATTTTTCAATTCAAACGAAAACTAGCTATCCGATCTTGTTTTATTAGTGTCATTATGTAAGCATCTGTTCACAATAAGAAGAAAATTTACTAGTTGTTGATCACTGTCATGTTAAGCAGGACACTTTTAGTTTGTTTCTCATTCAAAATGCTTGTTATAAAAACATGAGAGAATACATGGCAAGATATATGAGTTATTCAGGTGCATGCACTACTGATGGCAGCATGTTTTAGGCGAATGTTGTGAACAGAGAATGATTGATATTTTAGCATTTATCCGGATGTCGAATTTTGTCATCTGATCGAATAATTGATTTAAACGGTTTTCGCTGGTTCGCTTGTTACAGAATGCTAATTGCAGCCAAATAATATGATTGGAATCCAATAATATCGTTCAGGATTCACCAGATTTCAGTAAGAGTACTTGAGTATTTCTGTGTTTTCTATTTTTCCCTCTAGATATATATGTACTGAAATACTGTCGGTGAATTTATCACGGTAGTCGTAAAGTGCTGACGGTGCTTATGTATCTGCTTTTGACAAATGCAGTATGTCTTGTTTGCTTTTGTCATTTTATTTTGACTAGATGGGTTATTAGTGGCTGACAATGTTGTATGTAGAATGTTTTATCGTCATTAAATCTTGTTAGTTCTATTTTAGCTACTTTTTTGGCTTATTAGAAAAGAGTTGAAGTCAGTGAGGGGTAGAAGCGTGGCATTTAACCGCATTTACCTCAAGCAGGAAGGAAAATAACATTTCTCGCAAGTTAAGTTAGAATTCTCGCTGAGCTTGACAAAACTACCATTACAATTGTTATTTCTTTAAGATTCACCTTCACTGACAAAGATTCAACTTTTTCGTACTCGGGAAAATGCCTTTTTAGTAAAGATTATGAAGTGTGGAAAATGAAAACATCATTTCTAAAAGCAAATTGGTTGGGTTTCCATTTGAAGGTGTCGTGCTTCAGTAAATAGTCTTTTTGAATTGGCGCTTTAGGAGGGTTGGTTTGGCATTTTGCCTAAAAGTAATTTTATGTATAAATACGATATCTAGTTCATATTCGCGTGATCCAAGGTTCTTTTGACTGTGTGTAGTATACTGCATGCAAATTAGCTGAATTTCAGATATTCATTCTGCATCATAGAAGATTGTTCAGATTTTTGGGCTGCAGTACTGGCTTTATTGTTTGGTGAGTAAAAATTTCATTAATATGATGGAATATTATAAGTGACCTTTGTAATTTAGTAATGAGAATGTGAAAGCTCCATAATTATTTACTACATATACCTCAGTATCATATTGGTCTTAATTATGAAATTGGGTCTTCAGGCCGTCTGGCAGTTTGTTTCACATATGTACTTTCAATTACAATTTGTGAAACTGTAAAAAAATATCACACAAAAACATCAGAGGAGTAGGCTTTATAGATCTTGTGTAGACAGGTAATTTTCATTGTAGCTAAAAATTGAGATATTTTGCAGAATAAATTTTTCAGAAAGTCAGCACTCCTTCTGAGTTGAGCAGAGCATTGAAATGGTTTGGCCGTTCAATTCATCTAAATCCACACTACCTTCATCTCCGAGCGTATCTTTATCCGAATCTAATTTGGTCTCACCTCCTGATACTGAAGTGTTGGATTCGTCAACTTCTGGCTTTGGCACCTTATTAGGTTCTGATGGGGAAAATGTGAACATGTCCAGTTTAGACAAGTCTCCAATATTTGCTTTAGATCAGTTGAAGCATGCAGGTGTACCATTTGAAAAACAGTTATCCCCATATTTGCAAATGGATCCAAGCGTGTTTCGGGAATCGACACCTCAGTAAGTTGACCAAATATCAAAATATTCCGAAGCTAGGTTTTGCCAACACTTTGTTTTAAATTCTTGATATAGTTTAAAATTAATGGGTTTCAAGCTTTGTATTTTTTCTGGATCAAAAGAATTATGGATTTCGAATGCACAATAAGTGTGTTTTCAGTCTGAACAAAATGCGTAACTTTTAGGTACATCGTTCCTGGCGAAACAAAAGGAGAATTGGAATTTGCGATGGGTCGAATTGGATGGGCAGTTTTGGCTGGTTATGGCCTGGGATGCTTGCGTGGTCTTTTACCTGAATTACGAAATCCTGTCACACGGCAGTTGGTGAGGAATTTGACTTAGGCTTTAGTTTAGTATTGATTGTAATTTTGAAACATTTTTTTACTAAAAGAACTATGAAGTTTTACTTGATTGCGATTTTTGTCAGAACTGCCATGAATTAAAAATAAAGAAGTGCTTAGCATAGTGAGAATATTTCTGTTGGAGATTCTAGCCTAGTTTAATTTCTTTGCTCAATTTGCAGCCTTTTAAACCTTTTATGACTCGTTTGATGAATTCTTCGGTCAAGCATGGTAGTGGTTTTGCTCATCCTGCTGGTTCTATTGTTTTTATGTTCTCAGTGGCGAATATGATTTTTGGAAAATTACGTGCTAGAGATGACCTCAATGCGATTGGTAAAATTTGAGATAAATATGGTGCGCTTCAAGCGTTGCCACTCATTTATAGCTTTAGCAGTCATTTAAAGTGATTTTTAGCTGCCGGTGCTGTTACTGGTGGATTATTTCGATGTGCACATGGATCACGTGCTTCTTTGGCAGGCTCAGGAATTGGTGCAGCTGTAGCCTTACTCTGGTTGCTTAGCGATCGAGATAGTCGGGATAGATTATGGGAAATGCGAAGGCATCTCATGAACAAACAGGAATACAGCTATTGATTTAATTTGTAAATTATATTTAAATTCGATTAATGATAGTGCGGTGATCATTTCTGTTGGAGGATTATTAAGACATATTTGTCAGGGACGTGGATTACAAATTTTCACCTTTTCAACTGCATTATGATCCGGAAAATTTTTTCCGTCATAAGTATTCATTGTTCTTACTGTGATTTACTGCAATTAAATATATTTTACTGAGTTAAATATGATGTAGTGCACAGTGAATTGTCATTTACTCTCAGTTTCATGAAAAACATGCATAAAGTTGTATCGCTCTGTCTAAGACATTTTTACACATTTATTTAAATAGTGTGATTCTTGAAATGATGAATACAAGAGTTTTTGCTGATGATTGCATTTTCCAATTCAGTAATTAGGAAAGCAAATAGCTCGAAAAGAAAATTTTTGAATGCTTCGGTGTTTGCTATTTGTTTCAGGTTTGAGTCTGTTTTGTACGTGAAGTGTGGTTCCTTGAATTCATTTACATATGGTGGTTTACCGTAGTTACAAGTAGAATTTTCAGCATGGTGAGGAGGGCACAATCCACCAGTGCAGGACGAAACCATGCTTTGTTATGATAGTATTAAATGTGGTTCTGCATATGTTTACACAATTACTGCAGCTGCTCAATGTGGTTTGTACTATTGATTCTCTTTTCTCAAAGCACTACTGGCATATGCGATCAGGTTTGCGCTGAATATATTAAATTGTGAAGTTATCAGCGTTCTCTGAGCAATATTCTGTCACGGACAGAGGTTAATTTTATGTAGATTGTGATGCATTGCTGAGCAATATTGCGGAAAAAATAACAGATTGATCGAGTTCTCAGTGTCAACACAATATCAGTACTTTCATACAAATATGGAGAACAAAGACCAAGAGAATGCTATTTTTACTACCTGCAAGTCTTTTTATGTTTAACTTTTACTTTGCCATGTATATAATACTGTTTCATTATTATTTCACTGCTTAATTTATTGGTGTTATTTGGTGCTAATGCGATGAAGGAGAAAATTTGCTCATTATTTTCATTTTTATTCTTTAACATTTATCAGTTTTTTCGATTTTATTTAAGACTCTTAAAGTTGCAGTATTTGACTGATTACTAGGATTTAAGAGGAAACTTACTGTTTCTAGTCTATTTGTAGAATGTGTATGTACCATAGATTGTTATTTGTCTGAAATTTAAATCAGTCAGTTGATAATATCATCTGTTAACAACTTCCAAAAACCTTCTTTAATTCAGTAAGGATTCATGTAATCTTATTAGGGATTGCTTCGAAAATTTAATCTATTTAAAATAAGGTTAATCTAGTAAAAAAAAATTAGGTTTCTCTCTTGCGTATTTAACCTTTTTCTTCTTTGAAACTCTATGATATACAAAATCTTAATCTTTTGATTATTCATACTTGTGCTGATTCGCTTTGTTAGAATTAACAAGATGAAATTAGTAACTCTTGATCTTGTAATTTTTATCAGCATTTGTCAAGTGTGCTACTTTTTATATCTTATTGCTTTTAATTACTATTTATTTCTGAAGTATTTTTAAGGTTTTGACATATGGACGAAGATCTTGTTGATGTACTCGTTGTTTCAGTTGTTATAAGCATTGGTTTTTTAGCTGTAGCATATCTGGTTACTAAGGTATGTCTTCGATTTTCGTGTTTTATGAAATTATTATAAATTCCTTTTAGGTTAAGCATTTGTTTGTATAAGCTTTACTCTGAGATTACTTTGCTAAAATGTGCAACATTTAGAATTTTGCTCACAACTATTAATGTATGTTCGATATTACTCCAGTACATTTGCAGACATATGCTAACCACATTAAAACGCATTTGCTGCACTGGACGATAAACGACCAGGTTGTAGGTGTTCCAACAGTTAATGACTCACAATGGCGAAAATCATCGGTACCTGTTCCAAATTTAGCTGGTTCTTGCTTCAAAAATTCGAAAAAGTGAGTCGTTATGAGAGTTAATGGTATAGAAATTTCTATTGATTTCTGGTGTCTTCCGTTTTACCAAGCAAAGGTTACTTTATTTTGCAGTTGAAAAGTATTCCTGGGTTAATTTAGGATCCTTTCCAATTCGGATGTTGAACCCAAGAAAGTTATGCCGAAAAAAGTTCGGATAAATGTTACATCACAGATAGATGCACCGGAATGTAATCCATCAGAAATTTTGTCAAGGAGTAATCTACTGAAACATTGTTCGTTTTTACCACGCGCACGTGTTTTGATCCAGAGAAGAAGTACATTGTGATACAAATTGTTCTGTCATATCAGAAATGTTTAATTCGTATTGCACAGTATTCATTGTCATGCTTTAAAAGTTTTTAAGTTGAGAAAATGTTGCTCTTGTTTATTATATGAAACGGAACATTTTTTAATTGTAATTTGCATAGTTATATCACTGATAAATGTGAATTTCTTAGTGTTTACATCTTTGAAATATATGAAGAAAGTATATTTCATTAATATTTTGACAAAAAATATTTATACATTGAAGGCGTGATTTCACAAAATGGTAAATTTATTGAAACCATTAAAAAGAGGAGAATTATTGATTTCATTGGTCGATCGTCTGCAGTCAGTTCGAATTTATGAAATACTGTGATTTTGATTATAATCAGGATATGGAAATTTTAGCATCTAAGGACTTATTCAAGATCCTAAGAAATGAGTGCGAGAGAAGCTCCTCATTTTTATGAGGCGGAAGAGCATATGCTGGAGCCTGCTATTAGGCTACCGCTTGTTGATGCACTCCGGAGACTATCTTCAAAACAGGGTATTCACTTCTGAAGAGATTATTTCTCTTTAAATTGTGTTGAAGGCGAAATCATGAAGTATTTGCATTTTCGTTTGTTCCATTGAGTATAATTACTAGTCATTCAGCATTGTAGATACGCATTGTGGATTTTTTGAATCACAGTATTACCATTGTTTGGAAGCTTTCGGTCAAAAACTAGGCAGGAAATACTGCGATTTGGAACGACGTGATTTCAATGAATGCATCACAAACTATAAACAGGTTGTTTCTTGTTTATTTAATAATTGTTTGAACAGTTAAGAATGTAGGTTTGTGCTTGTATTTTATGAAATCAGCCTGATCTTTAGTGTTCCTCCTAAAACTTTGCTTTTAAAATCATGACAGTTCTTTACGCATAAACTATGGGAAATATAAGGTTTCAAGACAAAGTGTTTTAGAATTCTCATGCTCATTCTGGATGCTGTTTTTATCATTTTCATTACTTTACAGAAGAAACGAGCTGAGTGGATGAGAATGCAGTATAAATTACACTGGGATGAAAAAAAGCATGGTCCACGACCGAAAGGTGTGAAAATTGGAGAATGCTATCCAGATTATTTCTCGCATAATCCACCGCATATAATTATTTGAAACAAGAGCCATTTATTTGAAACAACTTTTTGAACTTAAAGATTGTGCCACTGTATCGTAGACTCTGTAGTTGTTATGCAGCTAGGTATCATTATTAAGTCTTGTCTCATTCTCAGCTTCAAGACAATGATTCATGAAATCTGTAGCTGTGTTCGATTTTGTATTTTTCACAGTAACAAATTTTTATAGGAAGATCTTGTCCAGTCATTAAATGTGCGTTTCAATTTCAAAAGTTCCCCATGTAATAACGGTAACACTATTGAATTCTGTAATCTTTTTTATTTTTGTAGACATTAACCTTTCGACTACTAATTGAAATAAAAGTGTGTCTGTCTGTATTTATCAAATATCGGGCATTTTTCCCTCTGCGGGCAATTTTTACGCGTGATGAAAACTGCATTTGTTAAAGAAAAATGGGAAAGATTTGCAAAGTTTTTTTTCCGGTCATCAGAAACTGGCTAGCCAACAAAGGTGTATAAATAGTGAGTTGTTGATATATTCTAGAAATTTGGTGCTATTATTCTCTAGAGATGCCCGATGAGGAAATATATAGTTTAGAATGGTGTAGATGTAGACCTGTACCAGACATACATTTGGCACGAATGGTGAGGAATCGAGAACTTGGTAGCCGGAAATCAGGTATACATGTAAGGCATATTTTTCTGAAAGCGAGGTCTCATCTTTTAATTTTGAGCGACGTGGAATTTGAACTAGATTCTTTCTCTTTCTTCCCAGTGTGTTTGATTCATCGGGATTAATGAAACATTAAATAAGTGTTCATAATAGACCTTTGGCCTTAATTCCAATATTGCTATGGATTTCTATAATTTTTGTCTCTTTCAGGAACGCATTATTTTTCTGGTGCTAGAGAGTTTTATCAGTGCATTCATCCCAGTCAAAGTGTATCAGGGATTGACAGGAAAAATTTGATCATTAAAAGGTTTGTGCAGTATATCATTTTACTTTTATCTAAGTTCCAAGTTTATGAAGTTTGTTAGGTTTACTGCAATGTCGGCTTCATAAAATATTATTGAGATAATAAAATTTCAAGGTTTTCACCGGATGGAAATAGTCTTATTTGTTTTTCGCCAGATGGCCACGATTTGCACATTCGTGATTATATTGGATTTACAAATGCATATAACAAACAGCATGCAACAATGTTTGAAGTACTATTCATTTAAAACGTGTCTTATTCATTCTTAGTGTACTATGAATTTTGATTAAAAAAAAACAAGATTTGTTTCTAGACCTTGGGTGAGTTGCGCTTACGCCATGATAAAGACATTACCGAAATCTTGTTTGTTCCGTGCATTGTTGTAGTTTATTTCGACATCTGTTTTTTTCTATTTTTTTTTTCTCATAAAATATTCTGTGACCAAGCAGTCCTTTCATTTAAAAAAAAGGCTTGTTTAGGATGTTTTTCCTGAACGTTTTATGGTAAATCTGGTCATTGAAGAAGAAGGAGCCGTATTGAATGAAGAGTTCATTTTTTTTACGGAGGATTCTCGATATTTGTTGGGTTTGTAATTTGACGTAACTTTTTTAAGTGAATGAAATGTTTTGCACAGTTTTATATTATAAAATTTGTGGGATCTCGTGATGACTTCATGACCATCAGTCTTTACATGGAAACAGGTTATGGAATAAATGTTAGTTTCCGTATAATTGATTTTCTCAATCATTTACGAAGTTCCCAAGAAATATAATCGTCTATTACTACCATAATTTGAATAACAAAAATATAAATAACAAGAAAGAAATAGTGACTTTGGTATTCAAGTGGTCTACACATCCGTATTGATGTACTTGCAGTTGCCGTTGAATATCCTACATCAGAAAGTGTGTTGACATGGAACGATATCTATCAAAATAGTGAATCTAACCCCCCGGTTTCATTTCAACGACTCATTAATTACATTATTTATTCCATTGACCTTAGGGTTAGAAGTGTCCATCCACTTTTCTCATTTATTGCTTGTACTTTTTGTCGTAGGAGATTTTAAATTAAAATTTTAAAACTATTCGGTATGAGTAACTGTGCAACAATGTTCGAAAATATTTGCATAGTGAACGTATTAGCTGAATAAGACTATACATTTAAACATACATGAAATTAAGACTATACATGAAATTTCAGAATGGTGATATATGTGACAAGTATTTCTTGAATGCTGATCGCCTATGGATATCATATGGTGTAAATTTGGTTGGACATCTTCTTGCTATTCTTTCATATCAGCACCAAACCCTTCATTTCTTACATATAGACGAAAATACTGGCTTCTTTAATGTACTTGGCCGTGTAGGGAGGTTCTTTTTTTCTCCTTGATTTTCATACATCGCTTTAATTTTCCACACTTATAGTTCATATCTGCTATTTGAAGTTCTTTTGTTGATCATAAATCTTGAGATCTGACAAAGGATTGACTAAATGTAGACAAACTTAGGTATTTCTTGTGGAAATATACATAGGATTCAGTATTGACCACTAGTTGAATTTATTTACTTCTGCATTTTACAGATATTTGCTAGCTGATGATGAAGATCTTGTATTAGCGGCAGAGAAAAGTGGAAATAGTCTTGCTGCAGATGTTGTTCTTAGTGGTCAGTTTTTCATGCTACTAGATTTTGGTGTTTTGATAGCGAAATACCTTCTCTTAGTTCGAAAATTGCAATCAACTTAAATGATAGTTAAGTATTTTGTCGAATGTCCTTATTTTCAAGTTCGGTATGTGATTTATTTGATGCATCATCAAAATTGGCTCTTAAATTTTCTGTGTTTAATTCGAATTAGCAAGTGTAAGTGTATAATAGGGATTAGTGAAATTAGAGATGAATTTTATAGGTGTAAAGCAACGAATCCTGTCATACCTTTATCATCATTGTTCAGATTCATCTGAAAGATATAATTTTTTGAATTATTTCTCGCAGTTTCGGTCATTGAGAATGTGGCAGATGCAGCTTATAACTCCGGCTATTGTTTTAATTCGTTTCGTTCATGAAGGTATCAACTTTTGGGCAATTTTTAGACTCAGTACGCATTTTTCATATATTTTTTGATTTATTTCTCTTTTAATCTTTCCAGAAACATTTATTGCGACCTTAGGGACTGGAAATTACCCATTACTCCTAGTACTTATGGAATGGCAGACAGGAATTATATTGGGTGTTTATGATCGTTACTCTACTGATTTCCTAAAATTGTTGCAAAACTGTCAAGAAGAATTCAGATATCCGCATGTTTACAACAATCGTTTTCCTTGCACCATTCAGCATTGCCACGCAGCACTAATGATCTATAACCGTATGAAAGATGCTCTCACAAATACAAGTGGAGGTTTTTCTTCACATTTGTTTGTGAAAATTTTTTTCGAAAGAGGTAAAAACGTAAAACTTCAGATCTTCTCTTTTTAAGTTTCATGTTTCGATCACATTTGTTCGATATGTCGTATTAAAAACAAAACATTTAAAATACTTTTTTTTTCTAAGAATAGTGTATGATTTTAAAAATATTCGGATTGTTAAGAATATGAGTTTATAGCTTTTCTGAGAACAACATTACATCTAGGATCTGATAAAGAAACCCGAAGACGCATTATATGTGGAGTGCCTTATTCATTTACTTCTGTTCCCGTAGAAACACCATATTTGGATCCGTCAATGTTTCGCTTTGATGATTATTTAACAGCAATGGTTGAAAGGGCGAAATTAAGCGATAATGAGGTTATTCGGTAAGTATTTGTCCATAAATTATTTTTCTAATACTGCAAGACTTTTTGTTAGTTATTAGAAGCCTGATGCAGGCAATCAATTTAAGATTTTTCTCACGTATAACAAATCTACCTCTCTTCGAAATGCATCTCAATGAAGGACGCGCTGTTCAACTTCTCTTTCATCCAACTGATCCGTTTGCAATTTCAATGGATCGAACATCAGAATCCCAAACTATTACCTTCCATCTACCTCCTTATGTCACACCTGATGATCCTTGCTAAAGAATCCATTTCTTATTATTGTTGCAAATTTATTTCAAAATTGTTCATAACTTCGCCCACTGAAATTATTGCTTTGTGTATATGGTACTTTTTTGTTAGGATCAGACGTTCATTTTTGGGCTCATTTTTTTGTTTGTATTTGACGGGTATTATGTACATTGAAATCGCTTATATATATTTGTAACTGATGTTTGAATTCTTAATGGATGAGTAGATAGACTAATGAGTCTTGAAGTGCATTCTATGTAATGGCTTTTAATAAGCAAAGTTGGAAGCTTAGTGATTTTGGAGCTTGCAGTTATTCAGCCAGCTTTTAAAGCAACATATGTGTTGTTAAATGCGCTGATAATGAGGAAAATAAGAGATCTGTGAGGTATCAATTTAAATCAAAGAAAGCTATTGTCAATTGACCAGAGATTAGAGAAGGCTGCCATCATTCTTAACTTTGTGATCTTGAAACAACAGCTGGTGTAAAATGTGTGTAATGTTCTCGATGAGATCGACATATCCATCTTTTATGCTACCGACTTAAGCAGTACCAAGGTTCTCACTAGTGATGCATTCGTCAGTCATTGAAGTACGTGTTGCACTAATTGGAATGACAGGTTGTGGTAAATCAGGTCAGGCTTAATCTTGTAATTATCGAGCTGTTAGTGGTTTTTCTGCACATCTGAGTTCACTATTATGATGTTTTTAGAATTTGTTTTAGCATACTATTGTGTAGTCAAAGTTTGATTAGGCTTGCTGAATTCAGAAATAGTAAGGAGTTAACTGGTACAACGGTGATGATTGTAGATTCGCAATGCTTGTTTAGTAAGTAATATTGATGGTAACTATAGTTCATTAATACTTCGTTTACTGAAACACTCAAAATGTTCAAATTTTTTGCTAGTACATTCGTATTTACAGGAACTTAAAGTGTAGTGTCCTTCTTGCTTGTATATTTCTTACATATTTTAAAATATTCATACCTTTGTTTAAGTAGTTTATATACATTACAGCCTTAGCAGTAAAGTACATTACTCGTCGTTTCATCGGAGAATATGATCCTAATCTTGGTTTGTTTTTTAGCTTTTTTTTAGCTTCAAAAAACATTCATTGTAAATGGGACTTACAGATAAGAGTAACTATACTTTGCCTTAATAATCTCACTGAATTATAAAATATAGTGCGAACAATATTTTGGTTTCTTGAGAATTAGCCTTCGAAATCTTTATTTATTTCTCAGTTAATATTTATTAATAGTTCTTGACCTATTTCGTCTATTTTCTCACTTTCGGCATATATTAATTCTAAATTTACTTTCCAGAGTTATCTTTTCTTTTAGTTCAGATCACAATGTTTGTTAGCTTCAGTGACAAAAATTTTAGAAGACACGTACTGTCGAAAGGATGTTGTGCTTTCTCAGCCCATGATGGTATGGTTAATGGATACAGTGGATGGTTCAGGCCGAGATGTAATGCGTTATCTTTCATGGGCTGATGTCTATATTATTGTTAGTTTTTTCCTTACCAGTGAATGAATTAATTCAAGGTATTTTTGTAATATTGATGCTGCAAACTGATTAAGATTCTAGTTTGAAAAAGTGAAACCTTTAATCAATTGTATAAAGTAAAATGAATGAATCATCTTGGATATAATATTAATATTTGATTTTTAAATTATACTTTTTTCTCTGATAACATTTCATAGACATTTTCCAACATTTTTAATTGCGTTTTTTGCTACTTATATATATATA